GTAAAATAATATATATATATATATATATATATATATATATATACATTAGAATCTATAAAATATTATGTTGTAACCCATCAACATGAGAGATAAAGCATTTATTTTTTCGCGAGTCGCAAATTACAAATGATATAAATAAAATGTATCCAATTTTCATACATAATAGATTGGTTTTAGTATCTTAAGCTCTCTTTTAGTGCGCTCTGAAAATAGGAAGCAATTGCAGCGCATTACAGAGAAAATCCTTAGGGGAGGAATTTTTGCGGGATCTAGGATTGTGCGAGTGCGCTGATACCATTATATCCAATCTATCTGGTGGTGAGAGGAAACGTTTGTCATTAGCTGTAGAATTAGTGACGAGACCGAAAATACTTTTCTTAGATGAGCCAACGACTGGTGAGAATTAAATAAAATAATCGCTTTTTGCGCGAAAGGAGATTCTCTTGATTATCAAACATAGGTTTAAACAATAAAATTTGTAAAAGTTTATACATTCCACTTTTACTCTTTAGAATTATACGCTGATTCTAAAATGCAATCTTCAATCTAATTCAATTATTAAGTTAAATTAATTGATTTGATTAATGCCAATAAACATCTTCTAAACTTATAGAGTTTATTGCGAAAAATATTAGATTTACTGTTCATATAGAATTTTACAATTGATCCAATATTGGAATTATTGACTGCCAGATTTGATATTAGCCTAGCATTAAATTACAATCGGATGATTTCAGCCAGAGTCCAAATGCAAATATTAATGATTCGGAAACCAAAAACCGTAATAATTCGAGAATAGCAAAATAATGATTTTATTTTAAGATCTGTGCAAAATTAAATATAATAAATAGTTATTACAGATTTTATTTTTCTAAAAAGATCCAAATATAAATTAAAAAAAATTACTATTTGTAAATAATATTTTTTATCACAATTACTGACGAATTATTTACCAGATATGATTCAATATTATAAATTGCTCGTATACGATTTATGTGATGGATTCGTGAATGGGCCATTATCGTATGCCGTATTATTGTAGTAGTAAATAAGCATTCGACCATTTACCAGTAATGGTTCAATATTGACCGTTATTTATTGGCCAAGTTATTTAACTATTCTATATGAATATATAGGATAAGTAGCTTTACCAATCCGATTAACTCGGTAAAGGTTTTTTATATATAAAATTATATGTGATACAATTATATGTGATTATATATAAATATTATATATATAAAATGAATTTTATACATATATATATATATATATATATAAATTATAATTATTATATATAAATTATATATAAATAAATATTTATATATAAATATATATAAAAATTTTTCCCGGAAAAGTTCTTAGTAATATTTAATTAAATAACAATAAATACTGAAAACGCCATTTTTTAATCTATGTTATAGTAAATAAGAATAACAACCGATATGTATAACACAGAATAAATAAATATTCAATCATTGGACACTAGGTTTGGACACTTTCGCCGCAACACACGTTGTGCAATCGTTGAAATTGATCGCCTCGAAAGGTACCATGATCTTCTGCACGATTCATCAACCAGGTATGATAATGTACAATATATTCAGCCACGTAATATTGATGGCTGATGGTAGATCCGTATATTTCGGGATTTTGAGGAACGCCACGGACTTCTTTGAGAGGTAATTCTCCAATATTCCAACGTTTGCAATTAGATTCGTTGAACGATGAAAACAGCGTCGATATGTCTGCTTAGCCAGGATTATCGATGTCCCACGAACTACGACGAGTCCGAGTATTACGTGAACATTCTGTCACATCAGAATCGGGAAGATCGCAATGCTGATTTGTGCCGGGCGTTTCTACGATCGTCGCTGTCGGAAATCCCCGTGGTCGAGAATATCCCAGTTTTCCGCGCCAGTCCTCGAAAGTATTGAAATAAAAGTAGAGTGAATTTTCGAATGAATTTTCCTAGATTTCTCCACAAAGTCTAATTATCTTTATTGTAGAAAATCAGGATGGTTCGTGCAGTTCTACTGGTTGCTCTGGAGAACATTCCTGCGGGATAGGAGAACAATCTTCGACAATTGGATCGCGTGGTTCTCTTGCGCGGTAACACGAAAAAGAAAGGGAACTTGAATGATTTCCGACCAAATTCTGATTAACTTAATCGACAGAATCATCATTTCTAACAGAATTTCCAATCAGATAATTGTTTCTTATTTAATCTCTCTTCCCATATTAAATAACGAATATTTCACAATCCTATCTATTTCAATTATGTAACGCAGATAACGCTTGATAAGTTGATCACTGATTTAATTATCGATTAAATTAATCGAAGTTTCCTTTGGATCGAAGTCACCTTTGGGATGAGACACCATTATGACCCATTTCTACCAATGTAGAACTTTATCTCAAATCATATCTTAAATTACTTTTTATTTGTTTGAAAAACTGAAAGAAAAAAAAAATGAAGAATAAATTAAGACCAACATTAAAATAGACATTGGTATTGAAACTGGACGTTCCAGAAATCCAAGACAAAAATTAGGATCAAAGGTAAAAATTGATCGTCTTTCAGTTGTCTATCATCTTCATCGGTACGTTTTACGCTGGCACCGATTCGTCAACGCAGGAGGGAATACAAAGCGCCCGGGGTGCGCTTTACTTGACGATCTCCGAGATCATCTTTACGATCGCTTACTCCGTTGTTTACGAGCTACCAGGCGAGCTTGTTCTCTACACGCGCGAGAGTACCGCCGTGTACTCGCCGGGGCCTTATTATCTCGCCACCGTTCTCGCCCTGGTAATTACTCGGCCAGTATCTACGAGCCAAGGAAAAGCCGACGTTACATCGCGTTTACATTAAACGGGGGAATTCCTCCAGGTGCCCAAGGCGACGTTCAAGGCGCTCCTATTCGCGGTCGCCCTTTACCTCGCCCTGCATTCCGAATTCTCGCCACTCGTCCTCTGCTCCTATTGCCTCTGCACGACGGCGGCGGCCGTCTGCGGCGTCGCGTACGGCATGACGATCTCGAGCTGGATCGCCGACATCGACATCGTCACCACGATAATGATACCGCTCGACCTGCTCTTCCTCCTGACGGCGGGTACTTCTACAATCTACGGTAAGTTGCTGCTCCGCGCGCCGCGACTATCACGACGAATGGAATTCCATCGGCCGCCCATTAAAAGTCCCGACTCCCGTAGGACTCTGCCGAGCTACCTGGCATGCCTGAAATATTCCTCCGTGTTTTACTACGCCACCGAAGCCATATCGATAGTACACTGGTCAGGAATAAAGTACATCGGTGAGAGATATGATAGCAAATCTATTCCTTTTTTTTTTTTTTTTTTGTTAATCGGTCCTTTGACGTTTCTACCTGAGAGCCTCTCCCTCCTCAACCTGCATTTAACATAAAAATCCCGATAGAAAAACATCCTAACGAGAGATATCTAACAAGCTTCTAACAAGGTGTCTGGATGATGAATTAAATTTCAGAATGTAGAATGATAATAGTTTTTAGAGTGCTAATTGTGAGTTTTTACTAGCATTTTAATTTCTCTCTTTTTAGATTGTCCAACCAACCGTGAGCTGCCTTGCCTGTCGAATGGAACGGAGATTTTATTGGAATACGGATATAATGAAGAGAACTTTTGGTGGGACATAATTGGATTGCTGCTTCTGACGATTGTGATGAACATCGTCGCATATCTCGGCACAAGAAGAAAGTCACAATCGATCACTTATTAACCATCGACATTCAATCGGGATATTCTTCTGATAAATTTCTTATATTTATTATGTAGGAACCCAAGGATAAGTTAACTATCCCAATTATGAATTGGATCAAATTTATACAATTAAAAATTGAAATTATTTTCCGCGGTAAGATATATTTCTACGGAGGATTTTTAATCAATAAATTAAATTGATTATTGAAATATTAAGAGAAATGTATAGCTCTGATTTTCGTCAGTTGATTTACGGCACGTAGTTGATGCCAGTAACACAGCTGAATATTGAATTTATGTATATAAACTAAAAAATTAAAAACTATTGAATTTATGTATGTAAACTAAAAAAAATAATTATTAGCTACCAAGATCCAATCCTAATTATAAATACTTCTCTTATATATTCTAATATTAAAACACCTTTTCGGTTTATAAAATTAATATATTGTAGATATTTTAATGTATTTGTGATATATATAAACTTTCTATTATCACGTGAATGTTAATCTTCACATATGTTTAATATATCGTGTATATAATCGTGTATTATATAGACAAATGTTGTAAGTTTAACATTGTCGTATAGAGAATGAGAATGAAGATTGTAAACAGCGATTATAGTCGCGCATTTCTCTGTTGATTTTCTTGACAGATTTATGAGAAAGCAAGAACGACGAAAGAACGCTATTGCGTTCTTAGATCACGTGTTGCCGTAACCCGAGAGGACAAATCCTGTTGTTGATGATAGGAGAACAGCGACAATAGAAAGAGTTACACACGAGTGTAGCGAGAAAATTTTATTCGTTATTTTGAATTTTATTCCTTTCTATATTTATTTTATACTTTTCTTTTATTCATTTTAGTTATACTTCATATTTAAACAAGAACTTCTTCTCCAATGTCCATTTTTATCAATGTATATTAACTTTAATCTCGGCTTAATTTACTTTTAGCGTTTTTTAATTCTAAGAATTATTCATTTCTATTCCGATATAGATCAACTTGTAATCTTGGTTTAATTTATTTTTTATCGTTTTCCAATTCTAAAAATGAAAAAATCCAAAATTACATTGTTTGTAGAAACGAATGTAAGAGCATCGTTTTGTTGAAATCGTTTTGTTATTATAAAATCGCACAATTTGGAGGTAAATCTCTATCTCTCCCTCTTTCTCGCTACGCTGATTATCGTGGTACGATAGCGGGCATCGGAGGGGAAGGGGTGGATGCGCGCTTCGGCGGCGAAGGGGGTGGGAAACCGCCGCGTTCGCAGCAAAACGATGGAAATATTGGAATCGGCGCAATATGACTCCACGACAGGTCGCGAAACGAAACGAAACAATGTTTGCGTTGCGCGAAGCGTCGCGGATATCTCTCTCTCTCTCCCTCCTTCTCTCACTCCCTCTCTTTCACTTTCTTCTCTCTCTCTCTCTCTCTCTCTCCTCTTCTCGTCCTCCTCATCTCGTCGAGCCGGAGAGGCTTCCTCCCCCGTCCCCGTCCCGCGAAACCGAGGATTTGTTAATATCGAGCGCGTTCTAGCTAGTACCGTGCCAAAATGGCCGACGTTTAGTCGTCCCTTAGTTCGGATTTAACACGGCCTGCCCTCATCGCACTCTCTTTCTCTCGGCCGTTTGTTTACACATCGCTCCAACAATCGTGTTTTATTTCGTGGACCTCGTGCGACATCGAGATATCGCGTGCGAAGCGGCGCGAAAGTAACGTTCCGGATAAATTCCGTCTAATTAAAATCCATTGTCGAGTTCAGGAGTTCGATCGCGCGTATTAATCTTCAAACGAGCACTTCCTGTGAAGCTAAAAAATGCCGAAGGGGCGTCAGACGTGTAACTCGAGATGAAGAAACATTTAGGCCGGTATTCATAGTCAGCTCTTATCACGGGATGCTCTTACAAATGAATGTATCGTCTTGGAGTACTAATACAACTTTGTGATTTTTCTTTAAATGTACGACTCGCCGACTACGAAATGCCAATACCTTAAAAGCACGTGTAACTTCGTCGCGAGAAAAAACGTGATCGCGGCGACTTTGAAGGCGCTCGACGGTAGACGCGACGGAGACGCGCTGCATGCCGATAGCAACTAAACAGCTGACTGTTCTAAAACCGCGCTTAAACAAGCAAACGGCAGGCCGCGAAACAGCGGCGAATCAATGCGCGACGGTACCAGAGACGATTGCTATACACGCGCAGATCGGATCGGATCGGATCGGACCAGTCTCGGCTGGACTGGCTTGGTTTGGGTAAATTGGACAAAGATCGGCGCGCTTCGTCCGCGAAGCGAAACCGAGCTGATTAGACGCCGCGAGAGCGGAGAAAGGAAAAAAAAGAGAGAGAAAAACATGTCCGCGACGAACGAGGCAACTACGGTGTTGCTGAAGAAGAGGGAGAGGACGCAGAACTGGATCCCGGAGGAGAAGAGCGCCCTGCTGGCTCTGATCAAGCACCATGCGAACGCGATCGAGAACAAGAAGATCGATGCGGCCGCGTCCGCGATGAAATCTCTCGCCTGGCAGCAGATCTACTGCGCTTTCCGCGGCCGGTTCTCGGCGGATCGGGACATCACCAGGATCAGGGAACAATGGCGAAGGATGAAGGCGCAAGCGAGGATGGAGTTGTACACATATGCCGAGAAGGTGCGATTTAGAGAGAAGATTTAGATCGCATAAGGAGCCTTTGCGGCAAGGGACGGAAATGATGAGTTAAATGTAAAGAATTAGGATCTCTCTTTCGATCAGTGACGAAAACACCTTGATACGCCTCGATTGTGTATCGAAGCGTGGATTTCCCAAATTTCACTCTTCATTCCTAATTCTCTATGTTTAACGTTTTGTTCCTGATTCCTTCCATTTTCTTCCGCAGAAGAATATCGAAGAAATGCTCGAAAAATGCCTTCCTTCTCTCTAAATGATTTTTCTCTTTTTTTTTTTTCTTCTTTATTGTCGTCGTTCGCGCAGGTGCGAACCTTAGGACCGGAAGCGGCCGAAAAGTCTCGTCCATCGAGTCTGTCGATCGAGGTGTGGCGGCTGATGGAGAGCATGCGCAAGAACGATTGTGAAATCGCCGATCGTTCGGATGACAGTAGTCAGGATAACGAGAATCCGACGAGTCGGACGTCGATCCATGCGATCTTGGATAAATTATTACCCACACCGGAAACGTCAGGTTGGAATACACCGACTATCGCGATTCCTCCTCTCGTTCTTTTTCTCTCGATCTTTGATTCATCATTATTGATACTTAGAAAAATCACAAACAAAATTACAAATGTACATTTTTATCCATGTGGATTAATTTTAATCTTGGAAAAATCGCATGAAACTATAGAGATGCTCATCTCGATCAATGTAGACTAATTTTAATCTCGATTGAATCTACCTTTTTTTAAAATTACCTTATTTTTTATTTTTTAAATTAAAATAAAGGATATAAAATAAATTTATTCGAGACTAAATTTATTCGATTTTAAAGTCAACATTGGTAGAAAAAATGGACAAGAGATATTTATTTAGGGTCGAGTCAGGAAATCAAGATGGAGATCAACAGTGATATCGAGGATGAGAATAGTCACGGTGAATTATCACAGAAAGCGTCGGAAGATGGTTTTTTGCAAAATCAAAAACGTCCCAAGATTACGATCGAGGATGAGCCTATAGATCTCATGGAGCAAAAAATCATCTATTCTGACAGCATATCAACGTCCCGCGTTGACAATGGTACTCCACATATTTCTTTCCTTCTTTCAATGCACGCGCGCGTGCAAAATGAGATCCCTAAATTCCGCCTAAATATAGATCAACTTTGATCTCGACTTAATTCACTCTTTATCCTTTTTTTAGAACTAGAAAAAGATGAAAAGTAAATTTAAAGTCGAGATTGGAGTTCCACATTGAGTAGAAATGGACATTAGAGGGAATGTTTTATTTTCAAGCGGCGGAGCACAACGACGCGAGAAATGAGCCGTCCGTGGACTGGAACGATGGTCCAACGACTTGCGATCGGGATAAATCGATGCAGCGGGCGACGTGGATCTTCAAGTCCACCCAGCGCGAGCACGAGCTCAAGTTGCGGATGTTGCACATCGAGCTGGAGCGCGCGGAGCTACAGAAGCAGACCGCTGTCAATGAGCTAAAGACATCCGAGCTCAAGAAGCAGCTGATGCAGGACCAAGCCGATGAATACTACAGGTGTCGAGTCGAGGAATTAATTAATTCAAGACAGAATTGTCGGTTAAGCAAAGTTCCAAGCTGTATCCGTCATTCCTAATCTTTAATCTTTTCTTCCCTGCGATGAAACATCAACGGTGCCATTCACGGCGTAACGAAGCACCACGGATGAGAATTAATCGATTAAGATGATCGAAGTTTGATTCAAGTTTGACCGAGGTTATCCCTCCATTTTCTGAACGAATTACCGGTATATCGACATCAGTTTGGGACGACATTAATCCTGACATAAATTTAGATTAATTTAATTGACGATTAATTCAATTGGCATTCGAGGCATTTTTTTTCTCTATATAATTCGTTATTGTCTGATAGCATCTAGTCCCTTTTTTCCATCTATTTAAGAACAAAGAAAAATTGAGCCTAATTATATTAATCGCTTATTGATGCCATCCTGATTGATAGCGTCCTAATTGCGTTTGAATCTGTGGAAGTTGACGATGTTTCCGACTCGAGCGCCGTCGCAGACCGTCGTAGCTGAGTTTCGCGTTCTAAGAATAGTGTTTCGTTCATGACTTGGAGATCACTCAGCAATCGTCCCTGCCAAGTTCTCGCTGGCCTTCTGGTGTCGAGTATTTCGTGATTAAAAAATGCAACGAGCGATTACGACGTTTTCGCGGAACATCTCTGCGTTAAGGTATCGAAAAAACACCGCGGCTTGTTAAAGTCGAATAATTTGATATTGAACACGCGTGCTTTTAATTCACACGTCATACCGGCATTTTACCATCGCGAACGTAGATCCCGCTGTATCTACGTTTATCCGCAGTAAAATACTCGATGCTTCGTCATTCCGAATTTGGGAGTACATTTTATCTTGCTAATGCAAACAAATCGTGTCTTTTCAGGATGTTGTAGATCTGTGACATGATCTAAGTAGATGCCATATCAAAATTATGTAATGGTTTAGTGAATAGTACAAACACATAACCCCTGAATAATATTTTATTTATTTATTTTTGGTTAAGTAGAGATTCTTTCAGTTGTAACTACTTTTATATATAACAACTTTGTTATATATAAAACGTACTTTATTATAGTCAGGTGAGAATGGTTGGAGAACGTGGTTCGGGTGCTGGCAAAGGAGGAGGTGGTGGTGGCTCTATTCGTGATGCTGGCGGTTCTTTTGGAAAGATGGAAGCTGCCCATGAGGACCAGTATTTCTATAATCTGGTTAGTATAATATTTCCTGTCAACCGTGTCACATTGATGATTTGATTCTTGTTTCTTATACAAACCTGAAATCTTATTCTAGCAAAAAGAACAGTTAAAAAAGATGCGAGAGAGCCTACATGATGAGATTTCATTCCACGAGGAACAGATTAAGCGTCATCAGGAGGCTATAAATCGTCATAAGAAACGGATTTCGGATATGGAGCAGAAAGAGTGAACGAGAAAGTTAGCGTGATACTCTTGATTTCAGTGGCTATCATTGGTTTCGATGTAAAGAAAAAATAAGTCGAAAATAGTAGAACTAATAGAGTATCACAACAGTTTTTTTTTATGTATAATAAACTGTTACTTAGATATTGAAGCAATGCTTTTAATATATATACATATAAATATGTTACTTAAGCATTGATTGATATTTCCTTGGATATTATATATCGCTTGTTCTGGCGAGATTATCGTACGATATCTTTGTACTTGAAGTGTCTGAAAGACAGCTAATCTTGAAAATCATGTTTTTCATTGTTGCTTAACCTTTCCTTAGGCTTCCGAGGTGATTGCTAACGCTCGTCAATTCTAATGTCCGGCCTTAGGCTTATTTTTTATAGCTGAATTAGTGTCTATTGTGATCAAAATAGATACATATTTGAAGTTTGGCGAAAGCGAGAAGAAAAATGTGATCTAAATGCAGCGATAAAAGATAGACTTCTGAAATCTAAAGATCTCTCAGATGCGAACTTGTTTTTGTTATTATATAACCCCTTCAGAAATATTTTCCGTTTAACAAATAAAATCAAATTCGTGTTTACAGAACGTCCACTCTGCATTACAAATTTTTCTATCTCGTGACCGCAATGCTGCGATGTGTTCTCAGAGAAGCGCGCGGGTATTTGCTCAGGTATTTAATCACAAAGACACTTAATTTGTTAAATTATATTTCCAGGCTTTGCGTTATGTTATTTTTCTAAGTGAAAACGATCTGTTCCGTCAGTTTTCGACATTTTAATGGAAGAAGGAAGCACGATTCGAAGAAAGATCAAGCACCGTTCGGTGATGTTGCGTGTGAAACGGAATATTATTACAAGCAGGTGATGCATACATTTTCACAAAACGTCATTTTAGTCAAACGGTAGCCGCAACGTATAAGGCGTTACGGATAATCAGGATAAGAAAATGCTGCAAGTTCTTAAGGAGAAGACGCAGGATGAGGTGAAGCACATGCAGAGAGAAGTGCAAATCATGCAGAAGAAGATCGAGGAATACAATCGTGGTATAAGCGAGAATATGAGATTTCTGAAGAATCTGGAGAAAGATTTATCCACCAGCAAAAAGAAAGCTTAAGCGGTCACGTTCCAGCATTCGTCTCATCTTCGTTTACAAATTATCGGGATATGTGATATTAATTCGAAATAAATAATTCAAAATTCTTTGCTACATTTTTGATGAGCTTTAATCATATCAATATGATCTCATGTAGATGTTTAAACTTTACAAACTTTCTTCATATTGTGCAATAATACCAATTGATTAACATTTATATTAACAGATATTACACCTCGAATTTTGATGTGAATCGTGTCACTTAAGTGTAATAAAATATTAATATCATCATTTATTTTTCAGAATCATAAATATTTTAGACAGTAAGTATCTTTCGTTGACAGTAAATATCTTCTCGATTATGCACGTGAAAAGAAATGCTATTACTATTCAGAAATACGTATGTTTATTTACAGAACGTTTAATAAATTGTGAATTCAATTCTGCATATCGAGTTGATTATTTGGATATTTATAATTTATTTAAATATTTAAAATATTCATGTTCTTTGATTATTTCTGGAATTTCATTAATAATCATAAAGATATTTATTTATCATCTTTAACATTGCTTTAACAAATGTCCATAAAATTACCCTGAGAATTTAATTACTTTTTAATATTAATATTTTAAGTTTATTTTCTTCTGAAAAATTTCAAATACAACCCGAAATAAATTTCTAAACCCATAATTAATGAGATACAATCGACGGGATAGAAAAGTTTAATTTGCATTTAAAACTCAGTTTTAATTTTAATTTTATTAATTATTAACTTTACAGAATAAATATTCCAACAAAGTATAAATTTTCAGAATAAATAATTAATAAATTCCTCTAAAAAGAAATCAATGTATTTCGATAAACAAATATCGATCCATCTATATAGTTAATTATAGATTTTTCTGATATGCCAGCCAGCACATCTTACAAAGCTGCAAGAAATTTGTTTCAGAATTCAGTCTTTACGTCACTCTTGCGATAAGAAGAAATCATCGAATAAATCGTTAAAGGATCCGCTAGGAAATTCGGCGTTAAAAAATGAATCTCTCGCGCGCGCCGCGTTCGTAATTGGCGCCAACGGCCGAGTCGAAAGCGCGATCGGGGCGCGGCGACTCGATTCGCCGTCGGTAGATGTCGCCGCGCGCGGGCGCGGCGCGGCGCGCGGCGAGGCAGCATGGCGGCCAGTCGGGTCGGTCTGGTCGACGGTAGCGGGCGATCGTCGCGCCGCCCAGTGTCTCGCGGTTCATCGATCAGTGTGGTGTGTGTCGCGCGTTGTTGTTCCGGGAGATCTTTTTTTCTCCCCCCTCCCCTTTCTTCCCTCGAGTGGTTCGTCCGTCCACGACGTTTATTACGGGTATACTGCCCTCGCGCCGTCGTCTTACGCGGAACGTCGCGTCGCGTCGCGCCTGCACCGCCTTCCGCCGTTCCCCGTGAATTCGTGCGCGTGCATACGGGACGGGCGCCGGGCGCGAGCAGGGATCCCCATCGGGAGATCACGGGATAGAAAGATGCGACTAAGGATACGCTGGATACTTCTGGTTAGCACGGCAGCGGTGATCATCGCGGGATGCGACGCCGCCACCGAGGTGAGTATCCCTGAGTGTGCTCCGCAATCACTCGACACGCGGCCGCGTTGCGGCACAAGGGGAGTCGCGAGCGAGAAAGAGAGAAGAGAGTCGCGGTCGCAAGCGAGAAAGAGAGACGCTCTCCCCCGGTCTTGCCGTTCTTGGGCTCTTTCTTTTTCTTTTCCTTTCCTCTTTTCACGCGCGACGCGTGGCGTCGAAGACGCGGGCGCGGGGGCCGTTCCTGCGAGATTAAAGGCAAACGCGCGCGCCTTGCCTTTCCCTCCGCGACGTTAAAGTGTTACGCCGCTATCGAGGCACACTCTCGGCACATTCTTGGCGTCTCGTCGGGGCAGTGGTGTTCAAATCGAGGACCCTCCTGAATTGCGCCGCTTTCGTGTTTAGACGCGGCCTCTCGCCGCGGTGCACCGCGTCTCTCTCCTTCTCGCTCTGTCCGCGATTCTAATTCTCAAGAAATATCGGAGCGCGAGTAAATGAGAATTCTTTCCCTCGCGAAATATATTTTTACTTCAAATCGGACGGTTAGAACGTCGAGGCGTTTTTTGCTCCCGGTGTTTATACTCGCGCCCGTTCGCGATTCGAAAACAAAACGTTACTATTTCGGAACAACCTCTGTCAATGAGCGTGCCTCGCTCTTTCTCTCTCTCTCTCTCTCTCTCTCTTCTTCTTCTCTCTCTCTCT